AGTTGGGCCCAGAAGCACAGCAGTGTACTTCTGGATGAGATCCTTAGCCTTTTTGCCTCTGCATCCCTTTGATAGCTTAAGTGAAGCCAAGGGCCTCTGCCCCAGAAAAATGTTTAAATGCACAAAATATATATGTAGGATTCTGAAGGGAACTAAATATAAAAATTATGCTATAGAAATGGTACTTCTATTAATGTACTAAATAACAAGATCTAGTGGTAAGTATAGTGACTAATTTTGAGGTAGTGATAAGAATAACTGATTTGGAGTCACGTGCCTGTGGCTCACACCTATAACCTACTAGGAAGGCTGAGATTAGGAGGATTGGGGTTTGAGGCCAGCCCAGCGAGACTCATCTCAAACAATAGCTGGATGCTGTAATAGGCCTGCAATCCCAAGCTATGCAGGAGGCAGAGATCATGGGAATTGTAGTTTCAGGCCAACCCAGGCAAGAAAAGTTCATGAGACTCCATTTCAATGGAAGAAAACTGGGTGTGGTAGCATGTGCCTGTCATCCTAAGATGAAGTGTAAAATAGGTTTGCAGTCCAGGCCAGCTTGGGGAAAAAAGTGAGACCCTATCTCCAAAATAATCAACACAAAAAAGGCCAAAGGTTGCTGAGCTCTGGTGGCTCACACCTTGTAATCCTAGTCACTCATGAGGCAGAGATCAGAAGGATCACAGTTCCAGGCCAGCCTGGGGGCGGGGGGTGGGGGGGAGAGTGAAATCATATCTCAAAAGTACTTAACATACAAATGGGCCGGTAGAGTGGGTCAAGTGGTAGAGCACCTGGATAGCAAGCATGAGGCTCTGAGTTTAAATCATAGTACTGCAGGGGGAAAACCTAAAAAAAGAAAAACTATTTTAAAGTACTTGTATAAAATTAAAGTCTTGGGGCTAACACTAGTACTAGTATGATGTGTGTTGATAGTAGTATTCTTTCAACTCATAATTGAAGGGCGTGGCAAATGTCAGCTAGAGATTAATGGAAATAAAGATGTAACTTTTTGTTCCAGTCACATTCATGCAGCCTCTAAATTTTAGTCAGGTTGAGATCCCCTGTCCTTGCTGGTATCTTAACTTCGGGAGTTACTGAGCCACAAAGGCCCTTTGCAGCCCCATTTCATTTCTTCTTGAACTCGGAATTCTCTTCAGCATTTGGACAGCTCCTAGCTGCTGCCTGACACTGTGCTAAAGTATTCTGCACACATTGACTTTAGTTATCTTAACATTTATTTTTCCTTGGGTTGAAATAACTTCAAATTAATTAAAAAGTTATAAGAATAAAGAATTTTATTTTTCTGAGTCTTCTGAAAGCTGACCACATAAAGCCTCCTGTTTCTGAATCCTTTTTTTTTGACAGTACTGGACTTTGAACTCAGGTCCACATGCTTGCTAGGCAGGTGCTCTACCACTTGGACCATACCCTTAGCCCTTTTTTAACTTTAGTTATTTTTCAGGTAGGGTCTTATGTTTTTGCCTGGGTCTGTCCTCAGATATTGACCCTCCTACTTACTGCTTTGTGCATAACTGGGATGACAGGTGTGTACCACTGTGCCTGGCTTATTCCTTGAGATGGGGTCTTCCTAATTTTTTGCCTGGGCTGGCTTTGAACTTTGATCCTCCTGGTCTCTATTTCTTGAGTAGCTAGAATTATAGGTATGAGCAATCATGTCCAGCCTGCGCTCCTTACGCCTTTGTAATCTTCAGACTCATTTGTATCTCATTAACTGTCTCAGTAATACCCTTTCCAGCAAGAGAGTCTGACTCAGGATCATGCGTTGTAATTTCCAGTCTTGATTCTATCGTTAGCTGCTAGAAGAGTTCCTCAGTCTTGCCTTGACTCTCATGACCTTGATCCTTTTGAAGTGTCCAGGTGGTTATGTGGTAGGGTACCCTTCACTTTGGATTTCTGTTGTCTCCTTGGTAATTTGATTCTACCTATATTTCTTTGTCAGGAAGGTCACAGTGGCAATGTCGTGTTTTCACTGTGATCTTCAAACTTTCACCTACTAGTTTTAGCATGGTTTTGTTTCTTAGCTAAATTATGCATTACCATGATGACGGTACTCTGTCATTCTTTCTACATTTATTTATTTGCTATCATTTTACTGTAAAGAAAAGCTTATTTTCATGTATTCATTCCTGTTGGCATGGAATCATAAATTCCTGTTTTATCCAGTGGGTTATGATTCATCACCATTGTTATTTATTTTAATGCTGAAATTGTCCCAGATTTGGCTGGTGGGAGCTTTTCAAAATGGCTTATGTGTTCTTTTGACAATATGCCATCATTAATTAAGCATTTCTTGTTTTAAAAAAATCCTTAAGCTTTACTGAAATATCACTTATAAATAAAATATATTTTTAAGGTATACAACTTGATGTTTTCATATATGAGTACATTGTGACATGATTACCACAATCAAGCTAATTAGTGTATCGTCACCTCACGTTGTTGCTGCTGTTTTTGGTGGTAAGAACTCTTAAGATCGTCCCTGTTAGCAAATTTCAATTATGCCGTCCAGCATTGTTCACCCTGCTGTATACTATATCTACAGAAACCTTCTCATTTGCATAACTAAAATCTTGTCCTCTTGACCAGCGACTCCCTATCTCCTCCTCTCTGCTGCCTCTGGCAACCACTGCCAACTCTTTAAGCACTTTCATGTTTTCTGGCACAACAAAATGCTGGAGACATTATCTTCTATTGTCTCTAATTTTCCTTGTCCCAGTACTGGAATTAGCCTTTTCTCCAAATGTAAGCCTGGTCCCTTACAGTATACAATTTATCTTTAATCTGCATCGTCACTCCATAATGTGGTGATTATTGTCCACAATTTTGCAAGTAGGAATACAGAGATATAGTAACTTTCCAAATACCCAAACTGCTTTGTAGCTGGGCCAAAATTTCAACTTTAAAAAAAGTTCATGAGCCAGGCTCACGTCTGTAATCCTAGCTACTCAGGAGGCAGAGATCAGGAGGATTGTGGTTTGAAGCCAGTCTGGGCTAATAGTTTGCAAGACCCTATCTCATAAAAATCCATCACAAAAAGGCCTGGTAGAGTGGCGCAAGGTGTAGGACCTGAGTTCAGACCCTAATACCCCTCCCCCCCCCAAAAAATTCACATGTGTAAACAAGGCTCAGTGGCTCTCACCTGCCTAAGCAGCTACTCCAGAGGTAGAGTGGGAGGATTGAGGTTTGAGGCCATCCCGGGTAAAACATTATTGAAACCCTGTCTCAGTCAGTAAACCAGCCATGGTGGTGTTATGTGCCTCTCATCCTAGCTATGTGGGAGGCTAAAGATAGGAGGATCGAACAAAATCTGAGGCCAGCTGCTGGCAAAAACATGAATCCCTACCTGAAAAATAACTAAAACAAGAGAGAGCTGGGGGAGTGGTTCAAATGGTAGAGTACCTGCCTAGCAAGCACAAGGCCCTGAGTTCAAACTCTAGTCCTGCCACCCACTGCAATTCACATTTGTGAATCCTAATTCACAAAATTATACCCCCATTCCATAAAAGACGGGACTGTACCTTATCGAGGTTAAGCTGCTTACCGAAGGCCACACATCTAGTAAGTGGCTCTGTCTGCGTGTCATCCAAGTGCCACCAATGTATCCTCTTTTTATTTTCTTAAGTCCCTCATTCCTAATACTTGTTTGAATTTGGTATGTGATTTCTCTTCTTTGGAGCAAGAGCAAATGTGGCAAGGCTCTCTTAGTGTTGTGGAAAGAATGACCAGCAGCTCTCAAAGGTGACAGTTTCATGATGGGCAAATGGTGCGAACATGGAGTGTTTCATAGCAGCCTTTGGGTTGGGAAGCATAGCTCTCAGCATTGTGCTGGGTAAGTGTACTAGCTTCATGCTATTATGAAGAAATAACAAGACAGTTAACTTGTAAAGAGAAAAGGGTCATTTGGCTCACATTTGATTTTAGACCAAGGTTAGGCAGACCCACTGCATTGGGCATCTAGTGGGGGTGCTGGAGGGAAATGAAAAGGGGTACATGGTGGAGCAAGCTGACGTCATGTCCAGGAAGTTAAAGAGAGGAAGAGGAAGGGGCGAGGGTCCCACAGTCTCCTCTTGAAAGTGTGTGCCCAAACACAACAAGGGGATTGAACTTTGATCACAAGGTAAAAGCGAGAGCACACAAGGGAGATATGAGGATAGGTAAGACACCTAAAAAATTAGCTAGCATTTGTTGCCCTTAACGCAGAGAAACTAAAGCAGAATACCTTAAAAGCAACTGAGGCCAATAGGAGAAGGGACCAGAACTAGAGAAAGGTGAGATCAAAAAGAATTAACCTAGAAGGTAACACACATGCACAGAAATTCATGTGAGTCAATGCCTGTATACTATCCTTATCTCAACCAGCAAAAACCCTTGTTCCTTCCTATTATTGCCTATACTCTCTCTTCAACAAAATTAGAGATAAGGGCAAAATAGTTTTTTTTTTTTTTAATTTATTTTTTAAAATTTTATTATTCATTATGTGATTGGCTTGGTCATTTCTCCCCCTGCCCACCCCTCCTTACCACCCACTCCGCCCCTGGCAAAAAGTTTCTGCAGGTATCGAGGTGGGGGAGAGGAGGACAGTGGGTGGTAAGGGAGGGGGTGGGGGCAGGTGGGAGAAATGACCCAAGAATTGTATGCACATATGAATAAAAAAAAAAAAAGTGTGTGCCCAGTGACCTGAGGACCTCTCGCTAGACCCCATTTCTCAAAGGTTCAATCATCTCCCAATAGTGCCACCCAGGGATTAAACACATGGGCCTTTAGGGGACATTCCAGATAAACACTACAGCAGGCTGGGCAGGCTGGCATTCCCCACTCCTCCTGCAGGTGGTGCTGTGTGACTGTGGCCTGAGCCAGAGCTTCACCCAGGCCCTCATTTTCTGTGGTTTTAAAAACCAGAACTAGCCACAAATGTTTACATAATAGAAGGCTGCACTGTTAAAATTCTTCCCCTAATGTCAGATTTCCATTATCATTTCCAGGGAAAGCTACAATCAGACTATGAAGAGCTGATTCAGGTCTTAAAGAAGGAACAGGACATCTATACCCATCTGGTGAAATCTCTCCAGGACTCCGACAGGTGAGGGTGTCTGTCTGGGCATTACATGCACGTGAGCATGCCTGCACACATGCTTGGTGATCAGTGCTGCTGGTCTCTGAGCTAGCAAAGTTCCGCTGGTATGCTTAGGAAGCTTACAGAGCACTTGGATGGTGACTGCCCTATTGAACAGGCACATGCACCTTTTCTTTTTCATCAGTTACCTGATTTTTGGCAGCAAAATTAGCATAAAAACACAATATTTACTTACATTTTTAAATACTTTATTTTATATATATATAGAAAGTGCTTCCCTGTGTTTCATTTCATGATCTTTGCAGCTGTTCTGTGAAGAAAATAAGAGTGTTTTATCCCTATTTTACATGACTCCATGAAAACTAAGGTTGAGTGACTTGTCTAAAGTCGCACAGGTATGGCTAGAACTCTGGTACCCAAACAAATCTCTGTGTCTTGGAGGGACTTGTGTCTGTAAGAATTGCTGGAATGCTTTGGTGCCTGTGAAGGGTGGTGAGGACAGGCAGTTATGACCAGTGGTCTTGTTCTAGTCCTCGCTCTCCTACCCTCTAGCTCTGTGTCCCCAGGCAAGTGGCCTGCTCTGAGCCTCTGTTTGCATATCTGTAAAAGCAGGGTTGGCCTCAGGGATTTTTACATTAAAAAATGATCCATCTCTACATGGGGATAGTTATAGTTGAAAGTATATGATATCTGGGATTTGTTTAAAAAATAGTTCAGAAGCAGAGGAAGTGAATGGGGGAGAACTGTGAAACAATATTAGCCCTGTTTCCCTGGTTGTTAGGCTATGGTATGGGGAGATGGGAGAGAGGTTTATTACCTTAGTCTGTCTTTTTCTGTATATGTCCAAAAATTTCCATAATAAAACATTTAAAAATATCCCTGTCCCTTTCTCTCTCACATAATGGCCTATGCTCTGGCCAGACGGAGCTCTTCATTGTTCCTGTGTCTGCCCTCATCTGTGTTTCCTACCTCTGGCCCAGCCCTTCCCTGCTTTGTCTCCCTTTCTCCTTCAGAATTAGCCTGAGTGTTATCCTGGCCGGGAGACCCAGCTGATCCTTACTTCAGTTGTTCCTTTGTATTTCTTTTTCTGACTCTGGAAGCTCCCTCAAGGCGGAGATCCTGTCCAGCTCTGTTCCCAGGCCTGGTAGAGCAGGCAGTAGGGTACACATGCTCTGAGTATGGAGGTCCCTCCCCCAACATTGAGCTAAATTCTGAGCTAATTTCCAGATTTTCAAATCTGATACGATTTTGGAGAAAATAAAAACATGCCAGTGAAACTCTGGCTATGGCACCTCTCTCTGCAACTGAGCTCTTTCAAGAAGCTTCAGTTGCTGGCCATGTTCTCTGTGGGAGGGGTTGAGTTGTGGGAAGATCAAAGTTTGGCAGGGCAAACTTGAACTTAATTGCACAGCTTCTCTAGGTGGGAATCAGGCTAGATTCTGGGCCCTGAGATGGGTGGATGTGGCTGTTCTCAGTGCTCTCAACATCTTGAATGGCTCTGAGTTTCATAGGTTCTTAACTAATGAGTAAAAACATGAGTGGAGCTGAAGTGGGTTAGGGCTGTGATTAACCAGGGTGCTCAAATGGTTTCCCACTCATCTTCAAACTTGTAATATGTTTAGGGGGAGATAGACCTGGGTCTCTATCCCAGCTCTGCCACTCAGCAGCTCTGAGCTCCTGAGTAAGTCACTACTCACCCTGAGCCTCAGTGTGTGTATGTGTGTTCGTAAAATGGAGATTGGCTAGCCTGCCTGCCTACTCATCCCCCTTCCTACCTACTAAGTTACCTGTATAGTTTCCTACAACATGAAAAGTTCTTGCATGCTATCCCAATCTGCATAAACTTAGCTTGCAGGGGCAGAGGGGAGTGGCAGATCCTCAGACCTTGGAATACTCAGCAGGCAGAATTGTGGGTGAAGGCAGGTAGAGCTCCCATTTGTAACTTCAGCATTGTTTACTGTCTGGAATCTAGCAAATTGAAGCTCCAGCATGTACTTGTAATTCAAATGATAAAGGGAGGAAGGAAACTTGCTGTGGACGTCCGAGAACCTGATCCTTTTCACTTTACTGTTTATTCTTCATCTTCACTGCGTGTCTCAGAAGTTGGTGCTTTAGCCCTATATTACAGAAGTGGATTGTGCTAAGATGTTCAGGGTCCTACAGTGAAGGGTGAGGAGACCTCTTTTGCTTCTAAGCCAAGGCCCTTGCTAACGAATGCCTCCCTCCCAAATCTTCCAAATATTGAGGGTGAGTTCAGTTTGCATTTCCAGTAACTCAGGGTTGCTCAACCTCAGCAGTCTCAGGCTTTGGGTCTGGATAGTTTTTAATTGTTTTTGGTCACAGGGGGCTGTCCTGTACTTTATAGGATGTTTAGCATTTTCCCTGACTCTATCACATGCCAGTAGAATACATCTCCCTCCCAACGTGCTTGTGACAACCAAAAGTGTCTCCAGATCAAATGTCCTGTGGGGGTGGGAGGTGGCAAAATCATCTCCAGATGAGAATCACTGTTGTAAGTCCTGAGAATCAGAAGTTTTGCCTCGTTGTACGCTGGAGAGAATGTTTATTGAGCAGCTGGTATGTATTAGGCAAGCTCTTTCCCATTTAACCTTCAAAACAGTTTCAAAGGAAAAGTATTATTAGTCCCATTTACGGATGAGGCACTTTAATGGACTGGCCCATGGTCATAGAGCCAGTTATGCAGTGTGTCATTTTGAGCTTGGCTCTGACTCCTCATTTCTGCTCCTGGCTGCCCTTTTGCCCCCACCCCTGTTCTAGAAAGAACAATGCACAGGGCTTTTGTTTCTTTGTAAGTGAAACGCTTTTTGTTCTACAAATCCTCATACCTTGAAAAGATTCTGGAGCTGGGAAAACATAAATGACAGACACCAGAGCAGCAGCTGTGTACTTTTCACCCTGTCAGAAAAATGGAAGAGAGAGTGCGGTAGTTAGCTCTCCCCAGCCCTAATTGCAGGAGCATCGCTGAAACAATCTTCTTTTCTTCCCTGGTTAAATGTCTTGGCAGCATGGCCGCATCTGAGCAAGTGCTGTGCTGTGACACCTCTGGAAGGTTTTCCGTCAGAGGTACAAATTGATCATTATGATTGTTTGAAATGGAGCTAGGTACAAGTTGCTAGTAGGGCCCCTTCTCTCGCATGAAGACTGCTTCACAATAAACTGTCCTCAAAGCAGCAAGCAGAGATTAGACATAATGTTTTATTTTCCTTCCAATCTGAGTTGATAAGTGTGTTCAGTTCCATGGGTGGAGCTCAAAAAAATCCCCTGAAGGAGAAGTGGGGCTTGAGTCTGTGGCGCACATATTCAGAGCAGTAGCTCTTAAACCATTTGGGGGCTTAAGGAGACCTCTTTGGAAAAAATCCAATGAAAGCTTATGGGCCCTTTCCCTAGAAAAACTTGTATACTCGTAATTTTTTATGAGTAGCTTTGTTGGTGGGCCCTTTCAGAGAACTGTAGGTCAGACATTTGATAGAGAGTGATGTGTTTCTTAGTATGAAGAAAGGAGGCCTTCTGATTTGCTAAGGTGTTTAGTAGTCTTAAAAGTGTTCATGTTCCTTAATCCTAATTACACTGCTGGGAAAATTTAAGAAAATAACCTAAATGTCAGAGCACACTTTAGGCCCAGAGATGTGTGGTGAGATACTGTTCTTGCCATGCAGATGTCAGTTGGATCTGTTGTTCCTCTGAGAGCTGGGTTTGAGTTTTCAGGTCCGTGTTAACTGCACACTGATGGAAGTCAAAGTCTTTCTTATGGATGGACCTGCACCATTCCTTATTAATAGCCACTAGCCATGGGTTTATTTAAATCTACATTTACTTTAAATTTAATAAAATTAAACCTTCATTTCCTTGGTACATTCAACCCTATTTTAGATGTTCAGTACCTACATTAGCCCGTGGCTGTCATGTTGGACTGTGCAAATACAGAACATTTCTGTTATCAGAGAAAGTTCTGATGGGTAAGGTTTCTCATGATTAATGCAGATCTGGGAGGTGTGTGTTTTCATGGCCTCTCCTATGTTTTAGGCTTCTGGTTCCACACAAGTTCTCTGCACAGCTCAGCATAGTACACATTGACGTGGATGTGAAACTTGACTCCCCTCCCCCTTCCAGAATAAAAATCTATTCATACTGGGCATTTTTGAGTGGTTGAACCCACAACAGTGGATTTTTGTTGACCCCTAAATTGGTCTTTCTCTATCTTATTGTGGATTCACTCTTCTTCAGTGTTGTTATCTCTCTTGTCCCTTACCTTTACCCTCAGTATGGACTCTTTGATGGGAACACAGCAGAAATTCTGTCTGTCTCTCTTCTGAAGCCTGGCTACCACCCTGGTCCAGGACAACTCCCCCTTCTACACCCAGCCTTAAGACATTATTCCAAATGGTGGAACATTCTGGAGAATTAGGCGATTTCCACCTAGTTATGTCTATAGCCCAGTAATGGGAGAGTAGTTAAAGTAAATAGTGGGGCATCACTTCATTTAATATTATATAGTCATTAATAATGATGTTGTAAATAATTTCTACAAATGTAGGAAAATAAAGGAAGGAATGCACAGTTGCACATTGCACAGTTGGTATTATTTCAACCTTGTGAAAATACTTGTAGAGAAAAAGATTGAGGGGAAATGCAGTCTCCTATATGTTAATTGATAGTGGGATCATGTTAATTTTTTTCCTTTATACTTTTATATTTTAAATGTTCTGTAATAAATGTGTTTACTCTTAAAATCAGAAAAAATTGAAGTGACATAAAAATCACAGAAAGGCTTGCTGGCCTTTGCTTCTTAAATCACAAATAGGTCTATTTTACATTTCTGGTGTCTTGTTTTACCAAGTGTCAACAACCTGGAGGCTGAGTTAAGTGACATTTTTGCTCTTCGGAAGCAACTGGAGCGAGATGTTCTCACCTATCGAAATTTGCAGAAGGCCCTGGAGGAGCAGATCAGCGAAATTCGGAGGCGAGAAGGTATACACTCTCTTCCTTGTATTGCTGTTTGAATTTTCCACATGGAGGGCCTTGGCTGAACTTGAAGAGACTCCTACAGGGTCATGAGGAGATGACACAACCACAGCCTATCATCTGGGGACCCTTTGTGTGGTGGCCATGCTGATGTTGGCTCACCCCATCTGTATCTGTCTAGCTTTGGCCTTCCAAGTAGAGGGGCCTGGTAAACTGTCTTTGTTCTACAGAGTGGTCTGTGGCTTCCTGGCTTCCTCTACTATTTCTGCATCATTGGGTTCTCCTCTCTCCAGATAACCTCAGGGATTGGCAATCTCTTTTGTGTGGTAAACTCCCCTCATTGTTGGGCTATGCTTCCCATGTACTGCAGAGAGCCCAGGACTGCACACACATGGTGGCTAGAATGCTGTGTCATGTTGAAATGTTCTTAGGGTTGCAGACTCATCCAGGGATGGCTGAAGGATTCAGGTTCATGGGATGGCCATTGTGTTCTCATCACAGTGTGTTTGGCCCTCTCTCTTGCTGGAAGCTAAGCCCTTTACAGTCTGGGTTGGTGTCATTCCTTTCTGCATCTCTAGCCCAATGCCTGGCACATGTGATAAAAACTGATGATAGCAGTGGTGGATTTGACATTTCTTAGGCACTTATTATGTACAAGGTACCAGGCTAGACTCTGCCTTCTTTCCTCTGATCTTTACTGTCATTCCACTAGGTAGAGTAGGTATTAAGTTCATTTTATGGGTAAAGAAACTGAGCTGAGCCAGGGCTAGGGTGGGTTGATTTGCCCAGATTTGAGCCAGGGTGAGGTCTCGGCCTCTCTATACTCTCCATTATACTGGAGGTGCACCAGCACTTATCCATGCGTATCAAATGAGATATTGTTTATGGATGTGCTGCACTTGGTAAATGTCCTGCCTCCTCTGAGTCTCCCCCTACTGTTAGAATGCAGCATGTGCTGCTGAGGAGGCAGACCCTGACATGTAGGTGACTCAGACCCTCTGTACTGATCTATCAGACAGTTTCTGCACTTGTTGCTTGCTTCCCATGAGGCCTCTGGGGCCAGAAAAATATATCAGGCACTTTTATTTCCCTTGAGTTCTACCCTTGGGGTCACGTCTAATTTTCCTGTATTCTCACCTAAACAGAATCACTTGCTCATTTAAACTGAAATCACCATTTGCTTGTGCCATTCAGAATGGTCTCCAGGCACAGCGCTTGATATGCAAATGATAACTCAGAATTGGCCACAGTGAAAACCTATAGTCCAAGATGAAACCATACATTGAGATACAGCTTGTAAAGCAGGGAAAGTTACTTTTGCTCCCTTTGTGTGTTCTGCTCTACCCCCAACCCCCCAATTGCTTTGGATGGATTGTACTGGGATTGGGCATGGAAGGGTCTGTGTCTGATACTCTTTTTCTCCTTCCCCTCCCCACCTTTTTTTTTTTTAATTTAATTTTGGGCAGAAGAACCATTTTCATTTTATAGTGATCAAACATCTTATCTAAGTATTTGCCTTGAAGAGCACGATCGATTTCAAGTGGAGCATTTTTCTCAAGAAGAACTTAAGAAAAAGGTACTGACCTATTAACTTTGGTGCTTTCAGTTGCTGCTGTTATTTGTTGTCTTGTTGGGTTCCTGATCCCAGAGTTGTTAGGTTCTGCAAGCCCCTTCCCTCTCCTCTCTGCCTTTCTGCTTTGGTCCTTCTGTGGGTGCTGCCTGGCATGCCCTCCTGCTCAGGCTGGAGACCCCAGCCTAAGCCTGCTCTCCTTGAGGGGAAGCACTGGAGCTCCTTTGTGAGGAGCCAGCCTCACAATGAATGTCCTCAGGGCATCAGTGGCTCCTCTGTAGCTGGTCCAAATCAATGCCCTTCTCGGAGTGATCTGTGACTATTTGGTCACTCCACTCTAAGCGTGAACATCTTAAACATAGTGCTCAGGCTGTATTTATTTCTAATGTTCCGGTACCTGGCACACACAGTAGGAGCTAACAGATGGTTTTGAATGAATATAATTCCAAGTTTGTTTAATATATCTTTTTTTAACTGGAAAGGTTTCAATCTGTTGATCAGTGGCATGCTTAGAGTAGTGTAGTATTTCGGGGTCCTAAGAACCATTGTTAGGAAGTGTGAACACAGAGGAGACTGTAATTTATTGTAGAATTATCATACATATGGGGCTGACATTCATTTTCTGCCATGGCATAATTCTTGTTCTGGCAGAGAAGGTACACATATAAACAAATGATTGCAATAAGGAGTACAAGGGTTGCTGTCAGAGTTGGCACTGCCATACAAGGTACAGAAGCAGCAGAGGACAGTTTAATTGTCTCTTATTTGATCAGGAGAAGCTTTCAACAGAAGTAAGACTTGAAGTGGGTTTTGAAGGATGAATAGGAGTTTGTCTAGGTGGAGGGTTTCCTCAGAAAGAGAGAGAGAAAGCAGACTGTACTAGGCAAAGAAGTAAAAGCTATCAAGGAACATTATATAATATTTACCTGGCAAGTGAAATACCTTGATCATGAAAGTGGTTTTCCCAGGGTGAGTCTTATACATTGCACTCCAGATGTATTGACCCCTGCAATTTCACTAAATGTGGGAAACTTGACTGTATAATTTGTGGTAGTAGGGGACTGCGTTCATGCTCTCCCCTGGTGGGTAGAACAGGAGCACTATAAAAAATTTGGGTATTTTGAGAGCAGCAGGGTAAGGAACCTTGAGGCAGTGGTTGGTTTTTGGAGTTGAAGAAAGGGGAGATGACAGTGACAGAGACCAGCAGCATGTAGTTCACTTCATGGCACTTCGTGCATGTTTACAGACTCAGAATGTCTTGTTCTTCCCACTGTATCTGCCTCAAGGATTGGATCCAATGTTTATTCACGTTTCGATGTATTGAACACCTGCCACAATTAGTAGGGGTTGGATTTCCCACTTTATTTGAAGGGCTAATGATTGCCTCCATTAGGAAGGGTTTGAGAAGCTACCAGACATCAGGGTTTGAAGCTTACAGGAAACCAAGGTGTGCCTGTTTGACTGTCTGAGTACCCAGCCTAGCCAGGCCTCTGCCTTGAGGAGGAATCTGGGATGGAGCCTGAGGATCCCCACTCCAGGCCTGGCTCCCCACTGAATGCAGTGCTCTCTCCCATGTGCTCTCTGGCTCGTTAGCCCTTTCTATGTCTCTTGCACGTCTCCAGGCACCACAGCTGTGGTACCCAAGGCAGTCAGCTTCTTTGTTTCTCTGGTTCCTTGTTGTCACATGGTGCAGGCACCCTAGCCCATGGATCTCCTCAGGACTTTTGCAGAGAATGATTGACCAAAGCTTTGGGGAATATTTTTAGTACCGGTAAATGCTGTAAAAATGCACAACTTATCATTACCGACATTGTTGGATAGGTGCACCGAGAAAGAGGGCTTTGCTGTTAAATAAGGCTCTGACACAGCTCTGGGAGTTTTCCTCTGGAAGGCTCCAGTGCAAAGTAGAGGTAGTATTAGTCGTCATTGACATAGCCCTGAGGCTGTGACAAGCACAGTAGTGACTGATCATGGCAACCCATTTGCAGACAGCTGAGGCTTCGATTAGGCAACTCACCCAGGAGCTCTACCTGAAAGTGGTGGCTCTGTCTCCCTGCTTTTATCTCCCAGGTCAGTGACCTCATACAGCTCGTGAAGGAACTGTACACAGACAACCAGCACCTGAAGAAAACCATTTTTGATCTCTCTTGCATGGGTTTCCAGGGAAACGGCAGACTTGAGTCAACAGAACAAATAGAGGTAAGAAGAAATATTCTTGTTGTCATGCGCTAATTGCAAAAATAAAGCAACCCAAAAGATCTCTCAAGACCCAGGCTGTTTTGGGGAGGTCTCTAATTGACATTCCCTGTGCTGTGATGGGGTTTTGAGGGCCTGATTGGGTCAACAGATGTGTCCCAATTACTTCCTCTGGTCCTGGTCATGTCTCCATGGACACATTTAATATATTGTGATGCTTTGCCTTTTCTTTTTTGAAGTACTGGGGTTTGAACTCAGAGCCCATGCTTGCTAGGCAGATGCTCTACCACTTGAGCTATGTCCCCAGCCCTTTTTTGCTTTAGTTCTTTTTCAGATAGGGTCTCAAGATTTTCTGGGACCAGACTCTGACCGTGATCCTCCTACTTATGCCTCCTTCATAGCTGGTACCACAGACATATGCCACCATACCTGGTCTGTTGATGAGATGATGTCACACTAACTTTTTGCTCCAGCAGGCTTTGAACCATGGTCCTTCCTATCTTTGCCTCTGGAGTAGCTAGGATTTTAGGCATGAGCCATTGTGCTTGATCTTGGGATGCCTGTGACTGCACCCCAGACCTGGGATCTATGTTGCAAATGGCACCTGCAGATGAGTGATAGGATCTTGGGGACCTGGAGAATGGCCACGTCACCCACGTAATTTGTGTACTGTAGATGCAACCTTAGCAAATCCATTTATATTGAAACACAGATGTGACTTCTGATTCTCAGTGCTGATCTTTGTGATGTGTCATCTCTGATTCTCTGTTTATAACCTGTGCTACACAGGGAAGACCCCAAAGTTGTGCTGGTGAGGAAGACCATGTTGTCTTCTCCCTTTGCTGGCCTAACTCCCTTGGAATAACCTTGCTCCTGTGGGTATTAGCACTGTCTCTGAAGCCTGGTGCTCTTCTCACTGTGGGTGCAGAGGGGCCTTTTTGTACTGGGGTGCTTCACAAGCAAAGCTGGGATCTTCCTGGTTGAGGTTGTCTTGAACGCAGCCTGGAGCACCAGGTGAATGCACATTCGTGTTTGTCACCACATCATTTCCTGGGAAAGTGTTATAAGCCTTAAGCTGTCTCCTCCCACCTGAAGAGTGGGAACTGCTCAAAGGTGTTTGTGCTGCGCTTTGGCCATCTGCTCTTTTTGAGACAGGATTATTATTGATCTTGGCCTCCAGGGCTCCAGATAATTTTGAAAACCAAGAGTAACTGCAAGCCACTTAGGGAGAAACAAGTCTCCTGGTTTGCTTCCTCCGAGGCAGCATTTTTAATAAGCAGCTCGTTCTTCACCGACTCCATTTGAGTCGTAAATGGCGAGTTTTGTTTGTTCATTTGCCCTTTGAAAAAAAAAATCTGTTAAATGTCCCATTATGTCCTTTGGAGAACACAGCGTTTTCCTCTGCCCACTCTAAGATCTTAATACCAGCCGCTTCAGATTTGAGTCATTTGTCAGATTGCACTTCAATTTGATGTTCCCTGTGAATAGCCTTGTCCTTTATCACTCACTTCCTCATCTTCCCCCAGATTGGGATGGGAAGATCCGCATAGGAAAGATGGCATGCCCACTATAATTTGGAGCAGAGCGAGGAGAGGGAGTCAGGGTGAGGGAGACGGTGGAGGGGAGCCTGCTGTTTCCTGAGAGGTATATGGGTCTCCTTCCTTGAGAAACAAACAGGCAGAAACAAACCAGAAATGCTGTTGTCCACATTGTTTGCTGAGCAGCAGTGCTTGCTGAGTGGGGGTTGGGCATGATGCCTGCTCTCTTGGAGCTTATAAATCAGAAGAGGAAAGAGATTGAGGAAAAGCAAATGTATTTTGTGATTTTGAATTTCAGAAAACAGAGAAAAGAAATGACCCTTAATTCCATCACTTTAAAACAGCCACAATTAATTAACATTTGGGAATTGTTCTACACACTTGCACTGTGATATACTTATATATCCTGATTTTTCTAGCTGTTACTAAGTTGCAGTACCTCCTTCCATCTTAGGAATGCACTGAAATTGAATGGCCTCCCTCTTGTTGGAAATGTAAATTGTTTCACTATTTTATGATTTACATATCGAGTGTCTTTGTACACAGTCTTTTTCTGTGTCTAGGACTTTTTTCCTTAGACTACATTCCAAGGTACATAATTACTAGGTCAAAGGACAGATACAGATACGCAATAAGCATAAAATTTATTTTCAGATGCTCTCCCTCAACATTTTTTAATTTGAAAAAGGGTAGAAATAGTTTGGAGGCCCTGGTAGAGTTTGCCATGCTTCCTTTCAAATGACTTCCCTAGTGTGGAACCACACCGGCAGTTGTAAGGATGCTATTTCCCTGCATGCTGACAGTTCCCATAGAGAACAGCAAACAAGTGGAACACCAAGTACAGATGTCCTGCTGTCTTAATGTGCATTTAAAAGTTTCTAATAAGGTGCCCCCATGTTCTTGTATTTATTTGCTGGTTCTTACTTGCTGTTACAGGGGAATTTGGTTGCAAATCACTCTACAGGAGTGATTTTGGCAGGGTGCCATTAGGGTGGCTAGCATGGAAGACCATGATATGTATAGCATGTGGAACTCGCACTGCTAGGTGATTGGGTTTGCAAGAGACACAGGTACTGGAACATTGCAAGTGCTTAGAAAGGATCGGTTACTTGATTGTTATTTGGTTGTTATTTGCTTGTATTGTTGCATTGTCATTCTTAGGTGTGGCTATAAAATCAATATTTCTTTTGGTATGGAATGAAAACATGGATAAAAAAGCATAATTTAATTGAGCTCAGATATTTGTAGAGCTGTCATGTTGAATAAGAAAATAGATCTTGTGTGATTCTAGAGGACCCAGAAATGATACTCAGAAGTAGAGGGCACTTATTAAATATTCTGTTAAGGGTAACAGGATATAATCTGGTTTGTCAGAGTAGATTTAAAAGGAGGAACTTTCTAACAATTTGACTTCATATGTTATCATGAGTTTTACATGATTGTAAAGCCCTTGGCATAGTGCCTGACCTGTAGTAAGTACTCAGTAAAACACAGCTATTTCATTTCTTTTCTTTCTTTTTTTTTTTTTTTCAGTAGGTTAGTGGCAGATTTCCTGGAGCTCTGCTCAGAATTATCATACCAACACATGGGGCAGTACTTCTAAAGTTGAACCGGCTTTTGAATTTCCCAGGGATGTTAAGAAAATGCAGCCCAGCACAGGGCCTGACTGCCTACATTTCTGACAAGCTCCTGGGTGATCCTGCTGCTGATGCCCTGAGGAACACACTTTGAGTAGCACGAGCAGAAGTAATCCTGAAAACTGTCTGGTTCCAGCCCTTGTTTTGAAAACATCTTTACTCATTCTTTTGTTCTTTCAAAAGTGTTTTATAGAGCAGTCGTCATGTGAACACTGTGAACACAGACATGGTACTGCTCTGTCTAGGGTGTAGCAGAGAGAAGCAGGGAGGCAATTGCAGCAGAGCAGGCGAAAGCAATGATGTGGGGAACGCAGAATCCTAAGGGAGCCTGTGGGCCAGTGCCAGCCTGCCTTGAGGGGAAATTATTCCAAGGGGAAGGAGAGCAGGAGAAAAGAGCAAGAGGCAGCAGGGAACCAGCAGAGAACAGAGTGGAATTTTAAGGAAGGAATGTTTTAGAGGGTTACATACTCTAGCAGATAAAAAGGAAAAACAGCCGAGGATTTCCAGTGAGTCACATGTCCTGTGCAGGTTCATGGGAGTGAGAGGGATAGAACCACTCAGTGGATAAGGCTGATGAGGAGTGAGGAAATGGAGAGAGCCGACTGGCATCAAGAGGTGTAGAGGTCACTTCACTAGCTGGGGGCAGGGCTGAAGCAGAGCCTGGGTATTGTGACTCATAGTTCTTTCTGGCACCTTGCTCTTTGTCTTTGAAAATTGCTAAGTCACATATGGCATTAGGGACAATTTCTCTCTGTCTACAGCATTTGATATCTTGACCCCATTGCTGAAGCTGAGAGCTTACTTTTAATTTTGACCAAGTCAGCAGAGGCCAAGAGAAGTGAAAGTTAGTGCTTGTGTCAGTGTTTTGAGTAATGGTGTGACTGTGGTCCTGGAAATGCAGGGTAACTGATGCTTTAGCTGTCTCAGCGTGGAGTGCGGTGTTAAGGACAGATATTCAGCTCAGCTTAGGGGAGTCCTTCTCCTGTGTGCAGTGTGAGGGAGGAGCTTCTCCATACTACCTCCCTTGCCCCATGTGGATTTTATCTCCTGGATTAGATGGTCTTCAGGGACCTTTATGGTCAATTTCTGGACAGTCATGGCTGCAAAAACTACATTGCAGAAGGTGAAGAGTGACCCTTCTCACAAGTTTGGAGAGGGACAGAGTACTCAGTGACCAGACTGTTGGGGAATTTAGGAGGACTTAAGAAAAAAACAGAACACAAAAGATAGAGAGGTCTGGCTCATTAATCAGTGGTAGAGTGGTTACACCGCATGAGCAAAGCCCTAGATTCGCTATCTAGCATGACAAAAACACCCAAAAAACAAAAAGGGTGAGAGAGACTTTCCCCTCAACATTTTATTACGAAAAACCTGGACATAGCAAAGTGAGAGGAATTTTATAGTGAGTACCCATGTACTTAATTTTTAAAAGTAAATTTATTTTTTAATTGAAGCATAAAAGTTATGCAAATTAGGGAGATAATAATGGTGGTGGCAGCAGTTTTCTGCAGGGCTGAACAGCTGGAGAAGGTGATCCAGAACTTTGTGTTGAACCCAGATGAGAAGACTTTCATCATGAACATCGTCATCCAGGGCTGTGTGTGCGGTGCTTCCTAGACCACAGCCAGGCTTGTCTTGAGAAGCTGGTTTCCTACCAGGTTATACGCAGATAGCAGCACCGAGTTCCACAGTGGATCCTCCTCTTCCAGTCTGTGCCTGCAGGACCTGAGGGCCACCAAGTCAGGTTCCAGTTATTGACCCCTTGGAGGCAGTGACAGTGGCTCACTCAAGCCCTGCCTCACCAAACTTTACCTCCTCTCCCTCCATGCTCCAAGAGGAAGTACCACTTATTACCATTGTGATTCAGGAAG